CTTTTTCAACAGCAGCTGTTTAGGTGCAAACTGTCCACACCAGCAGATGCTGGCGAGTGATAAAAGGAAATTAAACAATTTTGTTTGCCTCAAAGGATGGATTTTTTTCTTTACTTTTATTTTCTCTTCCAAAGATAAAGTACTTCCAACATCCAGTAGCAGTGGATGAAGATTTAATCTCTCTCCTGATGAATGACCCACTATTTCTCTGACAGAGGCCGCTGAGGCAGACTGCTCAGAATCCAACGGAAACAGTGAAATGACGGGAGACTTTCTCTCCATGATTACTCTAGCTTTCTGAGTGTTTGCCTGCGAGTGTGTATGTGGTGATAGTGCAGACACTGGCCCCATTTTAAAACTCTGGTGAAAGTAAACAGTTGATATGCAGATTATCAGGACACAAAACAAGACTAAGAAATATTAGACATCTAAGGTTCATATTTCATTGTGTGACAATGCAAAATAAATTCTTTTCGATCAGATCCACACTGCAAAATTTTGATTTAAGCAAGGTTTTCATCTTGTCTTGTCTAACGTTTTGGTTTGAATAAGGAGGAACTGAAGGAAAATACGCCTGCTTATTTTACTCAGGTACTGGCTCACTCGTCCGTATCACGGGAAGAGGAGGAAAGACTAAAATTACGACTTCAATATAATATTCCTATGTAAATTTTAAAGTGTAATAATATTTTCATTTTCTTTTACATTTTGTTTTAGTGCAGCTTTATTTGACAGCTAAATTTAGTAAAGATTTTCCATTTTTTTAATACTTTTACCTCCTCCTTCATATAATTTCTGAAGAACGCTGTACTTCTGCTTCTCCATAGCTACTTTACAAACTATGCTTTTGTGTTAAATGGTACCTGATGCACTTGAAATTCAATTCAGTTAAAGTTTATTTATACGGCACCAGTTCCCAACAACAGTTGCCCCAAGGCACTTATATTGTAAGGTAGAGATCGTGCAACAACAGAGACAATAATAATACAATACAATAGTCCCTTTTGACAGGAAGAAACTTCCAGCAGAACCAGGCTCAGGGAGGAGCAGCCATCTGCTGTGACTGGTTGGGGTGAGGTGAGGAAGACAAGTCAAAGAGACGCTGTGGAAGAGAGCCAGAGATTAATAATAACAAATGATTACATAAATGCAGTTAACCTGTTTCAGATTCTTGCGAGTTGTTTGTAGTTTCTGTTGCTGAGTATTTCCAGTACATAAACATTAATCTTTTTTTAAACTTTAAAATAAAGTCCTTTTTGTCCTTTGAGGCAAAAAACGAGAAATGTTGTTTCCACTTTTATGTCTGTACTTGATTATGTTGATGTGATTTATATTCATGTGTCCTCAAAATAGTAATATATATTGGATTCTGTCTATCGTGGACCAATGAGATTCATTACAAATTACAAAGTATTTATAAGTATCTTGTGGTTTGGGTGGTGTGCGTTCTTATGTCATACACTGAGCCCACTGGTGTATTTGTTTTTTGAAGCTAATTTTGGTTTGGTTTCACTTATTTACAGCCTTACATTCAGATATTATGTTAATCAAAAAGGTTATTATCTCAGGTACCAGATTTAATTCATTCGGTCTCTCCCAAAACTTCAAACTGATTTTGGAAAAGTTGTGTTTAAATTTGAAGCTCCTGCCTCCTGCAATCAGCAGCTACAACTAAAACTCAAGGAACTGGTCTGTCACATATTGAATTTAAGGAATAAATGACTTTTAAATGACTTGGATGCAGTTACTTCAAGCAACTTATGATTGTACTGCTGTTCTCATTGGCCAGGACACTCTTGAAAAAGAGATTTTACAGGTTAAAAAAAATCGAATCTTCTCATACAATATGTTTTTCAGCAGAACAGGTACTTTTGAAGTGTATAAACATTTGTCCGTAATACTAAACGCTTCATATAAGAATGATTTTGAACGCAATACTTTCATTTATAAGTAGCAAATTTTAAGGCCAGCATATGATGATGTGCTAAGTAATCACTATGAGCCTGAAGCTCAGGCTGCACTGCTCAATGCTTCTAGTCAAGCAGTTTTTCTATTCTTGGCTCTATGTGATAACCGTCGGGGCAAATATCCCTAATATTGTCATGCACACAGCACTTTCACCTACCTGTCATTAAAGCTTGTGCTTCGAGGGCAGTCATTGAGAATAAAGTTTAAAGAAAGGATGGAGGGAATGGCACATTTCAGACATTAAATCAGACAGTATGAAATGGGTGAAAAAAAAACTGCGAATGCGGAAAAGCTACTCTAGCAGTTTCCAATAACAAAAACACTGGAGTAGAAATGAACATAATGACACCCCTATAAGGAAAGAATCTGAATTTCCTGAGAGAAAAAAAGCTTGAGTCAGAGTTTATAAATGTGCTACTTTTATGTTTTTAACGACTCTTTGAAGTCGTTAAAAACCAGCCTGCAATTAATTTTTGCTCAGTAAAGTTTCGGTAATCTCTAAAAAGCCAAAACCTCAAAGCAAAAGACTTTTGATACACTTGCCATCTACAAGATAGCTTTTCTTCTTTCAGAACTGACCTGGACGATAAAGCTGTGTAACACTGTGATTTGGCACTGCCCTGTTTTTGTTTCTAAAAGGTGTACACTCACTGTTCACTTTAAATTGAGCTCATATATTTTGACTTTATGTGGACATTATTCCTTTGTTGTTGCAGCAGTGCACTATCGGGATCTGAGAGAGTTAGTGAAGTTGGAAACTCCATTAGCAGGAGCCACTGATGAAAACCCATCAAAGGCTCAGCAATTGCGATTGAGGTCAGGGGAAAGACCTGGCAGAGAAACCACACAAAGCCATAAAGCCTAAGGTAGCTGCCGCTCATCGAGCATCAGCACTTGAGGAAGAATAACTGTGTCGTTGTCTGCAGACCTGTTGAATTAAAGGGGGCATTAACTGCTGCTTCCGCTGCATTATTGATGGAGAGCTCCATTCCTGAGGCCGTAATGCCTCCTATTTTTTCCCTTGCAATTTTCTGGTAGACATCTCACTGTCTTCAAACACACTTTCGTGCTGAAAGAGAGCGAGGGTTCAGGCAGAGTGCTTGCACTGTTCCCCGCAGGTTGCTTTTATTTTAAGCTGAAGCACCACAATCAGTGTCGAACCACGAAGCCTCCACAACTGAAAATAATCGCAGCATGACAAGCATGGGATGATTGGGGTTATGCAAGGTGCCACCTACAGTAACAAGACCTAAAAAGGTAGTCAGGCTTCCTCAGAGAGGTTGCAAATCACATGACAGCTCAAGTGCAGCAGATATCCGTTTCTCCGTGTGTTTTGACCTCAAAGAGACAAAACCAGAGACTGTTATTAGATTTTGATGCCAAATTCTCACTAACTGGAATTTACCTCATGAGTCACCTCAGCTCCCACCTGCAGTACATTTGTTGTAGAGCTCCCTAACAAAGGCTCACACTGCTGGCTTTATCTGCTCTCACACAGCTTGAGACACCTTACCTCCCGGCTGACCTCATCCTGTCATATGATTTAATGAGCGAAGCCGTGTCACAAACTACAGTGGCAGAGGTGTGACAGGATAGGTCTATACAATGCATAGAAGATTAATGAGGCCATCTCCTCCTTCAATGTGTGTGAGAAACGCAGCTTGAGGAGGAAAGAAACTTGATGACTTTAGAAATTATATGATATAAATGACGCACACAGAATCAAAATAACAGCTCCTCTATTTATATTCAGTTATGAAGCGATGCGAAGCCTGTCTCTGGTCTACATACACTATCTGGGTTGAATTTTATAGCTCGGCAGTGATAATGGTATGACATTTTTCTTGTACACTATCCATGGGTTTTTGTGTGTAGTGCCCTTTGATTTTACTTTGTGCTTTTGTGCTGGTGTTTATGGAGTCTTCTGTGAAGTAGATGGCTTTGGCTTCATGATGACAACACTCTCGGAGGGCGGTCCAAAATCAATCAAATACAAGTCCAAATGCTTGCATCCCATCTCCTACAGGCTATTTCAAAGGTTGGTATTGATTATTCCACCCATTCTTGCCATTCAGGGGGGGCCGACGAAAGAGCATGCTTGAGAAATGGAGAGATGATAATGAAATTAAAGGAGGGGAGGCTTTTGTAGCCTGGACACTAATGCATGGGGAGAGTGGAAGCTGAATGTCAAAGACACAAAAATGTGTTATCGTAAACTCGATGAGTATTCACGAGCCTAATTCATGTCATAACGCTGAAGTTCTTCAGAGTGGCTCGTTCGCACCAATTGTATGTGTGGGTGGTGTGTTTGGACAGGGTAAGGGAAGGGGTTTTGATAAGAGGGGAGTCTTTTTTTGTGAGAACTGAGGAGGCGCTTCATCTTGTTCTTATCCTCTGATTCTATTTTGGACTTTTTTTAGAAAGAAGAAATCTTCTAGGTTACAACAAAAGATGGTGTTCATGTGTTTCACAGAGGTGTGAAAAACCCTTCAGCACACAGCTGTCTTCCTTTTTCGTGTTCACTTGCATTTAGTGGCTCTAATGAAGATTTCAGTAGCCTATTCACCCTCTTTTTTTAAGAATAAAAGGAAGAACATAAGAAAGAAAGTCAGGTGACATTGCAGGACAACATCAGACCTTAAAGGAAGAGAATTTAATTTTCCTATTTTTTTTAACAATAATTTATTCACAGCTCTGAAACTCATGGAAGAAAAGTGGATAAATAATAAATTGTTCAAAGTTGTCATTAATAAAAGTATTGAGTGCTTAAATTGCCATCATTGAGGCCTACTGGCACCACTGTTTATAAGATGTTAGGGAGCTTATTGCCATTTCTTCATAACTGAAGATTTTATTTTGAAATATTAACGATGCCGGGGAGTCTATATTAAAATAAAAGTATTCAAATATATGTAGTACTTCTTCACTTCAAAAAATTTTCACACAGTCCCTAAATCTTTTCTTGGGTCCACCCACTGACCGAAAATAGCTCAAAGCGCTTCTTCTAAAATCATGCAGCATGATAAACTGGTTGTGTCTCAATATGAAATATGCCTTACTATAAAAACATCCTTTCGATAAAACATCTTAAATAAACCAATCAGCATAAAAAGCTGCAAACAAATGGCTGCAAGTGGCACTGGCGTAATTAGTGACTCATCTGATTCAGTTTTTATTTCATTGCTGTAGTTTGCTCGCTACTGCTGCATTCAAGAGGGCACGACCATCCAGTTACCAACGTCTGAAGCTTTCTGATAAAGGTCCTCCCCGTCGCCACCGGAGACTCCAATCCAACAGAACCGCTGGATGGCGCTAAAACACCAGCGCTGCATCAGGAGGCTCCACACGCGCTGTGATGAATCCGGCTGCTCTCTCATCACTCGGACAGCTCAGATCCATTTCTCCAACTGCGAGAAAACGTTGCCAAACACCCATCTGCAACCAGTATGTTGAAGGGGGATTGTAAAAATCCACTGCATCCTTGAATTCAGAAAGTATGAGTGACGGTCCGGCGTGTTGTCCAGCTGCCGTGGAGCTCTGGCGGATGGGAAGTTGTGAGTCAGAGGCGGAGGACCAGTAACTTTTATAGACTTTCAAGTCCACCGCCTCCAAGTATCCAGCAGCCCCACTTTAGACTCATTTCTCTCAGGGATTGTGCGTCTGGAGAGCTTAACATTAGACCAGTGTTTTAGGTTATGTGTTGTCCAGGGCGTCTTGTAGCGACAAGGAAATGCCATTTGCCTAAAGAAGAGGCTTCCGTTTTTTTGTGGCTGGCAATGGAGAATAAATGAAAGGGACAGTTCCCGGGATTAACTGAATGAACAACGGCAGGTAGGTTGGAATTAGAGTTTATAATTTGTTATTCCTATCTGTGGAAGTGGATACTATATATGTATATTTATATATCTATATGTATATCTATCTATCTCTCTATATATGATTGCAATTAATATTCTGAATTTCTAATGCTTAACAACTCATGTGCGACTGTGAAATGGCAGCAAAATCTACGATTGACTATGATAAATAGCTTTTTACAAATCATCAGGCACCAATGGGCTACTGGAAACTCATGACTTTAGGTGGCGTACAGGTGTAGCCGCAGGCTGGCAAATGTTCAACTTTATGTTCTCAAGATTCAGTGAATATTAGATGTGGGCATCAACATGAATCCATCACTGACAGTTCCGATTGGACAAAAAAGTTTCCCTCTGAGAGATCTGCCCATGTGCACAAAGGCACGAAAGGAACTCCCTTCTATGTGGAAATGCATGCAAGCAACATGCTACTGTTTTAAGTGATGTCTATCTATCTCGGACCCCCAAATCTCCATATTCCACATTACTGGTACCTTGGCAAAGGTAACTCTAAAACATAAACGTTGCTCCCTGCAGTGCAAAGTTAAATGTAGAGCTGAATTCACAGCAGGTGCAAGTGTGCTTCCCTTTAACCCCAACATAAGAGAAAAGCAGCTCCAGCTATAAACAGCTTGTTTGTGACTTCAGCAAAGTACAGTGGTGTTATCTCATTGTATTATATTGCAAACATGCAGAAGGAGTCCCTAATGAGAACTGGCTCATGTGTTTGGTGTCAGCTGTTGCACGCAGACTGTAGATATTTATTATTATGCCTGCACGCCACTGTGAATATATTCCTTTCTTGCAGCCTTGACTTTCCACTCTCCCTCTCCTAATTTGTTTCATACGCTCTCCTTTTTTTTTTTTTTAAATCCACCTCAGTCTATCTACTTGTTCACCTCGTTCTTTCATTTGCCCTTCATCCTCTTGACAAGTGTTGTGTGGTCAGCTTTTTTTTCTTCCCCTCAATTAGTGCTATCATCGCATTTCATCCTGCAGAATATGGGGATGGTAATAACCTTACACTCCTATTGCGGGGTGATACAATTCTGCTGTGATTAATTGAAGTCCCCTCAGAGAGTCAGAGGAGGTGTAGATCTTCCCTTTCACACTCGCTGACAGGCAACCCATTATATTGTTTTATAGATCGCCGTCAGTAGCCCTTGAAGCTGCCTGCGGCCCACTGTTGTTCTGGAGGGTTTTATTGTGCAGCGTTATTGGCTGGTAATGCTGACAGGCAGAGCAAAGGCCACCGTGGGATTAAGGGAGATGGGATCCCTGTGACAGTTCCACTGTATTTGACAGTAAACTGGAAACTTGGAAGAAAAAGATTTGCTCGCTCTGCAGTGGTAGTTGTAAAAAAGAAAGAAGGAGATGAAGAAAAAAAAAGTGGGGATTTGTTATGAAGTCACGTTCACCATAACACTGGCTTACTTCACATCTGCACAGAGTACTCTAACAAGTGGTGAAACAAACACGGGCCGTTGGTATGCAACAAAACACACTTTAGCAATGCCAAATAAGTAGCTTGTACAGGTAAGACAGATTAGCCTGCAATTTCTATAAAGCTACCATTAGACAGACATTGCAACAAACAACAGTGCCTGAAAAAGGCAGAGTATAGACTGAGGCTTGGAGAGAGTACTTGATATGCATGAGCCACCAGGTGATTTCCAGAGGAAGAGAACACCATGGATAAGAGGCTTGTGTCTAGTTTTAAGGAGCCACCCCAGGCAGTATTTGTGTTCTCTGCCAGCTTCCTGCTCACTCTGTCAGATCAATAGGGCATAATAGAAGAGTGCGGATTGTGTTTGCAGGCATGAGACAAAATAATACAAGCATTGTATTGTTTTTTCACCTCGTACATGTGTTGTGTAGTTGTACAATTAAGATTGCCTGTTTGTACTGCACATCTTCTATTTTTTTGCATTTCCTGATGTTTGAGCATGTCAGGCATGTCCGCATGTGCACGTTACATATACATTTAACAGCCCAGTGCTTTGACACCGAGAGCATTGCAGAGCAGCACCACGACTTAACCATAAAATCTGGGGTATTGCATCATTCCACACATTCTCTATTCACCACCAGCCCTGCAGATTTGGTTTAGCGGAACAATAAAAAGTCAGCCATCTATCTACATGATTACACCCGATTTCAGCACCTCAAGATTCGGTGCTCAGCGGTGTTCATAGGCTAATGTGTTTAGAAAGCACAGTTTGTTCCACCTATCAAAGCGCCAGCTCGAGCTGCTGGGGTGAATCCATCGGGTGTTTAAAGGGAAATTCAAAGCACCACCATAGCGAACGAAGTGCAGCATTGTGACGCTTGCATGCAGCTCTGTCATGTACAGTGGAGGAGGAGGAGGACAAGAGGACAGCACATCCCATGTTTTATAGATGCCATTTAAAGGTGCATGCCTGGGATGGGCTGGCTGAAATGAACTGTAACCACAGACTAAACACCAAGACAATAAACTAACAAATTGGTTTTCTGGAAGCCAGCAGTGTCCCACTCACTCGCCTGGGCTGATGTGTGGCGAGCTGTTTTTTTTTTTGTTTTTTTTTTCCCTGAGAGATTAGGCTGTGAGCACAACTCCATCTCTTATTTATTCATGCTGATTTGCTGTGTGCATGTTTGGCTGTGGGTGTGTGTGAGAAAGGGAGACGGGGAGCAAGAGAGCACGCGTGTGTGTGCAGTTGAAGTGTAGCGGTGTTTGTAAAAAAAGTGGGTGTTTTCCGGAGCATTTATATGAATGGTGTGTGTGGGGGGCGCATTGTGCTTGTGTGTACAGGCTTCAGCATCGCCTACTGCCTGATTAAAATTGTGTTGTGCGTGTTGTGAGGTCATTGCAATATATCAGCTCCCTCTGTTGTTTGTTCAGTATATATGACTGAAGTAGAGACACTCATAAGGTTCACCTGACAGTCTTGGAAAAGCTAGATCTACTTGTCATCTGTTTAAACAATTTTTTTAAACTTTAAGATTGAATCATTTGATAGATTTTTTTTTGGCATCATTGTTTTCTGTCTGGATACATCTAGGTATTCAATTTCACGATTTGGATACATTTTTTGTTCATAACTATTAAACAAAAATCTGCACCATGTCAGCTTGGGTGCCTTTCATCCCTCTCACTCACAGCAGGAATCATCATGCTTGACTTCATGTTATTATTTCTTTGTAGCTAGAATAGCACCTTGAGAAAAATGTATAGACAGTTATTATTAAAAAGTTGGAAAGGAATCATGTTTGGTTATTTCTTAAAAAACCAATGCAGGTTTGAATCATTTGCATTGTATCCACAAAGATAAGATAAGATAAGATAAGATAAGATAAGACTTTATTAATCCCACAACGGGGAAATTAGTTATAGAGTTATAGAGTCTAACTGCTGTTGGGATGAATGATCTGCGAAAGCGCTCCTTCCTGCAGCGAGGGTGTTTCAGTCTCTGACTAAAGGAGCTGCTCAGCCCACTCACATACTCATGCAGTGGGTGATGTGGGTTGTTCATGATGGATGTCAGCTTTACTAACATCCTCCTATCGCCAACCACCTCCACAGACTCCAGGGGACATCCCAGCATGGAGCTAGACCTCCGCACCAGTTTGTCAATCCTGCTCCTGTCCCTGTCCGTGCATCCACCCCCCCCAGCAGGCCACTGCATAGAAAAGGGCAGATGCTACCACAGTGTCATAGAATGTCCTTAACAGAGTCCTGCAGACTGAAGGACTTCAGTCTCCTCAGCAGGTAGAGTCGACTCTGGCCCTTCTTATACAGGATGTCTGTATTTGTAGTCCAGTCCAGTTTATTGTTGAGTTTTACAGTTAAAGTTTTACAGAACAAAAGTTCGACACCCTGAAAGAGTTCTGCTGTGACAAACAACAGTGATTCTTTCCTCTATAAGATAACTACAGAGTTTCCCACCTCCCCTGTCATTAACATCAGCACAAAAACTGTGCCAGGAGCTTCGTTATGTGGGTATCTATGGCTGAGCAGGTAGGTTAGTACTTTTGTTCATATAGCGTATGTTCCCTAATTTTGGTAGGTTAAATCATTCACTTCTTCAGTGACGTGCATTTATGCCACATAAGACTTTGTATACAGTATAGCAGGTGGACATTTTTTGCATTCTGTGATGATCCACAGAGAGACATTTTTTAAAATTAGAATTAAATACACATTTTCACAGTTGAATGCCTTTTTAAATATTTAATACAATTGAAACTATTAATTAAAGTCCTAATCTACAGTACTGTATATTACCGCTTTGTGATTTGAGTTCTTTCTCCCCTGCAAAATTTCTGCTCTGGGAGTGGCAATACTCTCGCTGTACTGTTCAGTGAGTGACATGCTGCTGTTTCTAAGTGGTCATTTTACCTATAAAGCTGAAATCACAACACAGCCATAATCTTTAGCTCATAGGTAATTTTGTGATTTTGTGAGATGATGCCATGGCTATAAAGTCTGTCTGTGCTGCCTGATTCTTCACGTATGCTGCTGCTGAAGGTCCAGAGCACAGAAGCAGTCAGGATGGCCCTGTATTGGAACAGCCTTACACTGTTGGGAGAGCTGTGCTATAGCTTTAGTCATCCCCAGCTGTGGTGTCCCATCTTTATATCATTAAAACAAAGGGAACCATCAAGTAGAGGTACTTTTTGGATAATTTAGCTGCAAATCTCAAGATGTATCTGAGTAAAACACATGTACTGTTTATGATTTGTTGAAGCTGACAATAAAGCTTTTGAGACAACTAACAGTTTAGATTTTTGCACCTTGTTCACTTAACTGTTACAGTTTTTGGAGAGTTTTCATACCTTCTTTGATCATCTTTATCCCCTCTCGCATTCATCTGGTCAAGTTGAAAACTCGTGGTGTTAATTACTTATGTATGACACTTTTAAATGGATTCTTTCAACATGGAACCGGCGCAGTCTCCTGACAGCTTGTTGTACATGGATTTTCTAAGACCC